CTGTTTGTTTACTTAACACTCAAACAAAATATCAAATCAATGAAACAAATCATCAATACTGTCATCAACTTTTCACAAATATGAAAAATTTTTCTTGTTGCTCAGAGTAATGAAAATTTACTTAAATTAATACAAAAATTCTATCAGTTTCTACACTTGATCTTGTGTTGATTTTTGCAATCTGCTTCTTGATAAATCACAAATATACAGTGCAAATGAACAGCTATACAATGATATCAATATTAACTTTTTACAGTTGATATCACATTGAAGATTAGAAGAATGATATGTGTCAATTTCTGAATTCTTGTTTTTTTTTATGTTATTAAATTGAAACTTGTTTTGATACTTTTTGAGTTTTTTACAACACTGCTGTTAACTAAGATTGTTTGTTTTGTTTCTTGTTTTGCTTTTATTTTTGCTGAAAAATTTTTTTTTGAGTTGATATTAGAAAATGACATCAACTGAGTCTGATCAGATTGTAATGAAAAATTCAGTGCTTTTTATCAACATGACACATACAGCTAAATTGACACTTTATGTTGATACATTCTAGTTGACAAACATTTTCTTAGTCATTTTTCTTATTGATTTTATTTCTGTTGATCACTTATGTCACATTTCTTTCTGTTATATTTTTTTTATCAATTGCTGAAGATATATATGAGAAATATTTATTTATCATTGAGAAGAACACATGCTCACACATATTTTTTGACATTTTTGACATTATTTATACATATATTGTGAGTTACTTGACTATTCTGTTATTGATAATTGTTGATACATACAAATTAATATATTATTTTTTCAATATGATTTCTGTTCACTACATTATCATGATTTTTAAAGTTGATACTTGAGAACTTGATATGAAATTGTTGACAAACTCTTGATTGATTGTTATTGCCAATATTGATTATTGATGTGTTGATTGTGGTGTTTTCTTCTTCTTACACTAAACTCATTTCAACTCACTCATATTGACTGAGTCATATAGTTTCTCTGTTTCAATGATTGACAAAAATATAATTTTTAAACATCTGCTTACTTTTTCTTTAGAAAAGAAAAAAACATTTTTCAACTAGACAAAATTTTTATTCAGAAAGACTGATTGAGCAGAATTTCAGAGTGAAATATAAAAACAAATAATTTAAAAATGAATCATCACTCTGCAATCATGACACTAGCTCTTTCCCAAACAGTAGACAAGAAAAGAAAATAATGATGACTTAACTCAGAGAGACTTCATCTAAAGAAAATACATAAAACTTGTCAAGAAATTCTGAAAATGCTGTCAGAACAAGATTCTCTGACAAAATAATTTTTATACAAGAAATTTTTGCAGAAAGCTTTTGTGAAGAACTTTAAACAATAAAAAAAAACAAAAAATCATCTAAAATTTAATCTGAAAAAACACAGAAAAAAACTTTGAAAACTGACTAAAATCAAACAAAGTTTTTCACTAAAGAAGCAGTTATTTTCAATTATAAAAAAAGAGCAGCTTCTGAAGAAATGACATCATCAAAATTACTTATATAATGCTCTTGCTAAACATATGCTGCTCAATGAACATTTTTTGAAGTGATTTTTTAAATATGTGAAGCAGAGTTTCAATTTGACAATAAAAATACTAAAAAATGAAAGTGAAAATTTACACACTGAAACAATTGAGATTCTCAGAGTCACAACTCACTTCTATAATAAACTTTATGACTCAAGAGAAACAACAAAAAATGCCAAACAGCTGATGATTGAAAAAATACATAGCAGAATCTCAGAGACAACAGCTGAAGAATTTACACAGAAAATCTCAACAATGAAAATAAAAATCTTCATTCAGAAAGCAATCTTGAAAAAATCATCAGAAATGAATGATTTTTTCTTTGAGTTATATAAAATTTTGTTGATTCAAACTGCAAAGAATGAGAAAAAGCTTGCTATTGTTAAAATTTTAATTAGTGTTTTCAATCAGTTACAAGAAAGCAGTTCAGTATCAGAGAAATGAGCAGAAAAAGTCTTAATCATTCTGCATAAAAAAAAATAAAAATAATTTATACAATTATAAATTTATCTCACTAATGAATGCTGATTATAAGATATTCACTGAGATTTTCATGCAAAAACTGATTAAAACACTGAATGAAGTTATCAGATTTCATCAGTCAGTTTTTTTTTCAAATCAACTGATAAATGACAGGATAAGAACAATTCTGAATATAATTGCACAAACAAAAATCACTAAGAAATTTATTATAATTTTTCTTCTTGATCAGAAAAAAATTTATGATAGTGTAAATCATGACTTCATGTGAAAAATGCTGCAGCAATATAAAATTTCAGAAAAATTTATCAGATGAATGAAAATGCTGTATGAGCAAGCTAGAAATAAACTTTTCATAAACAGCATTTTTGATGAAAAGTTCTTCATTATTAATGAAATAAGACAGAATAATTCAATAAATTGCTTTTTTTTTATTGCAATAATAAAAATTTTTGTTCAGACAATAAAACAGAATTTCTAAATAAGTGAAGTACAGACTGAAAATGAATGAGTAAAAATCTTCATGTATGTGAATGACACAACAATCATACTAAAAAATCAGCTGAAGACAGATGCTGCAGTAAAAATATTAAATTAATATGAAAGAATTTTTGAAACAAAAATTAACTGAAACAAATTCTATCTGCTAAAGCTTAATGAAGTGAATGTCAATATATCTAAAATTCAAGTAGTAACATCAAAAACATTAAAAAAACTACTGAAAATTTCAGTAGCAAAAAATATAAAGTTATCTACAACAAATTTTTGAGAAAATGTAGTTCAAAAATTTTAAAAAATTGAAACTGAATGAAAAAAACTTCATCTGTTTTTTAGAAAGAGAATGTTAATAACAAATACATTAATAATGTCAATTTTTAAATATGTTGTGCAATTTCTAGAGCTTTCATCAAGATTCAAGAAAAAGTTGAAAAAAATTTATTACTGAATGATATGAAATGACAAAACAGCAGACTTTATAAAAAATCTGCATGCTTGCTTATTAGTGAAGAAAAAAAACTTAAAATACTTTAATCTAAATTTTATCATTAATGTTTCTGCAGTTACAGCAGTATTTCAAGTTACAAGTAAACTTCAATTATTCTGAGTCAGAGTAACTATAAACACAATGATTCAAGCATCAAGCATGTTTAATATTTTCAAAAAAACAGCATGTTGCTCATAACTTTAGTGATTTGACTACAACAATCAAATTTTGTCTGAACTTGACTCAATCTGAAAAAAATGATGATGTTTATATCAACTCAAAAACAAGAATTTTATCAGTTTCAAACAATTACAAACTGACAAAAAAATTCTTAATACATATTCATGATATCATTCTGAAATAGAAATGATCAGTGATGCTGAAGCAAAACAATGAAAATCTGAAATTTGAAAGTAAATATAAACTGATGAGAAGAAATACATAAAAAATATATGAAATTCTCAAATCAAGAAAGTTAAAATATTCAGAAATCTCTCAGTCAGAGAGACTGCTGCAGCACAGATAGCAATCAGATAAATGATGAAAAATTTGTCAACAACATGACAAAACTTACTGAATGATTGCACAAAATGAAAATCATCAACAGAAATATTAATTTGCATGATTAAAAATGTAAAAATACAAACTGTAAGTCTGAGAAGAGCTTACAACACACTTCTTGAAGAAAAACTGAAGAAAATAAGCTTTAAGAGTTTAACAAAAAAAGCTTTAAATGTTTATAAAATAAAAACAAACAACAAGATAACAGCATATAAACTCTGACACTCAGCTAAAAAATTTATGAATATCTTCAAGACTGAAAATCTGATCTGAAGACTACTACACTGTAAAGTTCAAACTGAAAATCAACTTTACTGAATAAAATCAGAACAACAAAAATGCTTATTAGAGAAAAAGAATTTGTTCATCAATTACATCTGAATTGATTGCAAAGTAACTCAAGAAATTTGAAAAAAAGCAAAAAGTTTTTAAAAGAGATTAGAAGAAAAAGTAGATGAACTGAGTTATTTAAACTTAATTTATGAAATGATAATTTTTGCTGTACTTTACTTCAAAGAAGTAAATGCAACACATTGAAAGATTTTATACTGAACAGTGATCTGAAGTTTTTAAAAAATTTATTTTTTTTATTTTTTTGACATGATATATTAATATTGAAGTTCACAAACAGCAAAATTCTACTTTCAAGACTTAATGCAATAAAAAATATATACAAATCAAGCTGCATGTTTCAATGAAGTATATCAAACTGCACAAAATAACTCAAAAATCTTTGAGAAGATTTGAGAAGAGTCTTCACACAGAATGAAGATTTTACAACTTTCAAAGTTTTTAAAATCTGCAGAGTTGTCAGCAGACACAGAAGAAATAATTAAAAAAAAAATTAATTAAAAAGCTGAGACATCTGAGAACATAAAGAATTAAAAGCAGAAAGCTTAGAGTTCTCTTAAAAATTGCTCAAGATTGAATGTCAAGATAGATTCTGAAGAGCAGTCAACATGAATTCAATTCCCTGATCAGCATCCTGGTGGGTAGTGACACCTCTTCAACTCAATGCTGATTGGTGGAAAACCAAGAAGCAAAGGGAAACAAAAACAATGATCTGCTGGAAGACATTGTTTTGAAAATAATGGCTACCAGGTGAAATCAATTTTCAGTGCCTCTTTTCCCAAAGAACCTTTCCTTGCTGTCTCCGCGGAAAAGCGTTTTTTTAGTTATTTGAAGGCAGAGAATGGTAGAGACTAAGCTTATCTGTCAGGTTTCAAGGCCAGGTCAAGCCATAGCAAGCTTGACAGTCACTTCCACAGATCTGCCAGAGATCATGTCAATCTGCACAGTAGTGACTGACTGCAGAAAAAGTGTAATCATGAAATTTCCTTTTGTATTAACTAAATTCTGGAGTGATCAGCTGCTAGTTCTTCTTTTAATCTTCCAGTTTCAAGTTAATCAGCCTCTGTGGTCTAGTTGGTCATGACGCCGGTCTCATATCTAGGTTATGACAAGTAGTTTCAAACTGCTTGAAATCCGGAGGTCGCCAGTTCGATCCTGGCCGGGGGCATGTTCCCGAGAGTTTCTTCTTGTTCTACGTATCATTTTTGCCTATCCGAATCAGACAACAGACAGGATTGAGTATGGATCTATAGTAACTTGTCAGACTGTCTGTTTTATATAGTATTCATCTTCTAAAAAGTATTGTAGACCAGAAAGGTATGGAGTAGACAGAATGTTAAAGCACACAGCAAGACCTCAATTCTGGAGACTAACTACCGTAAGAGTGTATATTTTAACCTCAAAATCTAAAAAATGGAAAATTATTTAATATAAGGCAAGATGACCGAGCGGTTAAGGTGCCAGACTCAAGCGTTGTATGACCTTGCTCGCCCCAAAGGCGATGTGTATTCTGGTGGGGCAACCCGCGGGAGTTCGAATCTCCCTCTTGTCAAATATTTATAATAATTATTTTTTTTGGCATTTACCAGTTTACTTTTTAGCTCCTGGAGAGAGTAATACGTGCATACCGTGGCTCATCACAAATATTGCTCAATATTGTTATAATTTTTGATGAATTTGCTCATTAGTATCCATAATAGTTGATCAACTCTGACCCAGTCGTCTCCCTAAGCCGCTTGTTTTCTTTCTTCAGCAAGTATCGCATCCACCAAGCACAGAAAATCGAGCATAACGCGAATCCAGCGGAGGAACTGAACCCGATCGCGTATCGCGGAGAGTCATAATCAGGCCATACGTATGCGCCGTAGATGTAGCCTATTTGCCCGCCTATGTTTGTCATGGCGAGAATGACCTAGCCAATATCAGCCGAAGTCCAAGATAGGATGAAGAAGGTATATAAATACCGCCTGTTTCTCTCTCGTCTGCGACAACGTGGACGAGGCCCAGCCGATGATTACAGAGTTCACTGAATATGCGCCAATTGGGAAGATAAAGCAAGCGACATACCGCCCTGCCGTGTTCAGTGTGCATGCTGCAATCGCAAAGCCGACTATCGCAGTTGTGAGACCAGCAGTGATGTGCCAGGTTCGTTCATGGAATCGACCGGAGCTATATCCGAAGAGAATACCTGCGACTCCTGCAAATATAAAAGGCGGACATGTGAGAAGCAATGTGATCGTGGTCTTGAAGCCGATAGTCTTCACTACGCTATCGGACAGTTAGCGCGCAGGACCAGAGATATTCGGCAGCAAATCGTACGTAGGAAAGAAGCTATTAAAGCCGCATGCAGATAAATGAAAATTCTGCATCAAACAGAATATCCAAGTCCGTTTGTCCCTGCAGGCTTGCCGGAGACCTTCCATCATCGATGCCTGTTCCGGTTCGCCCATTTTATCCCTTTCAATCCGAGAATGAGCAATTTCGCGTTCGTTCGGTTTCAGCCAACGAGTCGTGTTTGGTGTATCTGGTAATAGCCAGAAGCCAGCAAAAGCCACAGCGGCCGTAGTGCTCCCTTCGATGATAAACAGCCTACCAAGAAATATATCCCGTTCTCAGTGATGGTTTGGACAGCTTGATCAGAGTATTCATACCATCTCCACCCAGAAATTCCTCTTACATGGTCGAGACCGTAAAAAACTCCGGCAGCAATTAGACCAGAAACGCCAGTAGCGAGAATTTGGGCACAATATAAGATGGCAATTCGCGTGGCGACCTCTGCTCGAAAAATAGCACCTTTCAGCATCTCCGTACGCTTTGCAATAACGGATGGTGTCGTACCTTTCCTAGTGTAGAATATCGATAAAATGTATGTTGCCCCAGGATAAAACTAAAATGCCATCAGAAAGACACGCCATTGCACGTATTTTAATGCTGTCCAACAAGCTACTCACGGGAGCCTCCGTGATTCCGAGCAAGAACCGGCAGACTACCATCCCTGAGTATGATTGTACCAGAGCCGTACATGCTTTTGAAAACCATTGTCAGATATTGCACATATTTTGCGTCCGAAGTTCAGAACAAAGCTTTCCCACCTGAAACCGCCGCCCAAATCACCATCCAAGTGCTCATATAAATGCTTGGCGGTACCCTCGTGATAAGCATGTTGCTCGGGACTTGCGTTAGTATATAGCCAACGAAAAGGATGGAAATTGTGGTATTAAACTGGGTCCCATGCATTCCCAGTTCTTTCTCAAGTCCATTCAGTCGAGCCTGTGCGAGTGTATTCCTATCGACGTAGTTGAGAAAGTACATCGCAAATAATGTGGGCTATGCGAACGATCAGCTGTTAGCTCATGCACGGCAACTAGGGATATCGAATGCAAAAGACGTCGTGAGTAAGTGTAATCTTACCATTATACGGTAGTCGAGCTTCCTGACAAGGCTGATTTCCTTGAGGTCCGTCTTTGCTGCCGCACCAGCATAGTCACGGTTTTCTTGTTGAGCGATGTCCTTCTCGTGCAATGTTGTGTCTGCCACAACCTCAAGGTGATCAGGAACAGTGAGAGTCCCTGCCGACTGCTTTTCTCCATTTGCACCCATGGTCACCAACTTGCGCCGCTTCTCACTTTGTTCCTTGGAACATAGCCAGAGAGTTCAATGTGAAGAAAGAGTGCATCGATGAATTAAGGAAGTTGATAGCACACTGTTCGGTTTCACAAGTCCATTTCAGGGTCTCCTAGCGGTGAGGCATACTATGAGGGAGTACGCAGCGAAGGCATGATAGCCACGTTCAACGAACATTTCCACGGGTATTTCAAAGCAGGGATAGATAAGAAAAATGTTCTCCAGTGTGCAGGCAAGTGTAGCCGTCATTCGTCCAGGGCATGATCGACGCATAGCTATAACTATATCAGCTAGGATTCGTCAACCATTCCATTCATTTTGATCCAAGCCATCCATGTAACCAATCCCACAATCATGCACGTCAAACTGGTGGTCGCATGATGTATGTACTGTCTTTGGAGAAGCGGGGAAGCTGGAGCTTGGTGGTGAGTGTGACTCGTGAGGTCTGCAGCTTGAAAATTGGTTTAGTCCGCCCAGCATCACTCATCTAGACTGTCACTGCTAACATAACCGCCTCAGCTGTCTCCTCACAACATGTATATTCCCACAAATTATTCGATTGAAGCATGGAAGTAAGCATTGTCTGATCACTTAGGCTTCTTCTTCTGTTGCACCATTTCCATTGAATCATCAACAGTCTTATAGCCAGTTTGCTGAGTGACATTATGGTTGAATTGAATTCTAAATTTGATTACTCACTGGCCATGTAGGAACAATGATGTAGTGATACATCCAGATACACCTTGCGTCATTCCCTAAGCTTGGTCTCCAGCTTACAATCAAGATATATATTCTAAAACAGAAACAGCTCAACTTATCATCAATTCACTTTTACCTTTTTACTCGAGGGTGCATCGCCATCACCTTCATTATGATTAAACACATTCCAGCATGAATGCTGCAATGCTTCTGAGGCGTTGATTCGTTGACTGCTATTATCAGGTGCCCAAGGGTGTCGAAACATTCCAAGGAGCAGGCTTCAACCGCCTTATGACATTATTATATTTCGACTCGAACATTGTTTTAGCAGGGGAAGGTGATCGTTACGCCATGGATTTTTGGCGATTAGCCAAGGGTGTCTGCCATGTAATAGCTGGTAGCCGACGACCCCAAGCGCCCATAGATCAACCGCTGCATTGTACGGTTCCATTTCTCGCTCGGGGGCGAGAAAGCCAACTGTTCCGCCACGTCCTGGGGTAGGCTATACCATGCCAGAGCTAGGGATCTTTATGGCACTCCCAAGATCAAGAAGGACCACTTGCGGCGGATCCCTCCGCCGAACCCCGATGTTTTCGGGCTTTAAGTCGGCGTGAATCCATCCGTGAGAGTGCAGAAAGTTGACGCCCAAGAGAGCTTCTCTGAACAATGCTGTTCTGGTTGTTCGGGTTGCTGAATCTGATAAGTTGGGCATTAAGCGTGTAAATGTATGCTGAACAACCGGCTCCATCACCAGCCAGGCATTTTCCAATATCGTTGATTGGTTTGCATTATTTCCGAAATGGTATATAACATCACGGAGAAGTAATAAACGGCCGGAATGACCAGAGCTTTCGGCGAGTTCAGTCAGCTCTCGTAAAACTTTCACTTCATTTTCAATATTATCGACGCTTTGATTGAGGTTGCGAATTAGATTCTTCATGGCCACTACTTGTGACTTGGCATTTGTCGCAGCACAAACCCTACCAAAGCCACCAGCGCCCAGGAAGGAGTGTATAGTCCACTGGCCAACAGTGATATTTCCTTCTTTAAGGGGCGTTGTTTCCAGATAGACTGGTGGAGGCTCTTCGACCCTAAGATGCTCTCGAAAATATTGCAGCCTCGCAGGAGGATACGCTGAGTCATAGGCAAAATCTGTATATTCAAACACATAACCAAGGTGGCCAATACTGATATTAACTCGACCATGATTGAATGCAAAGGGGGAAACATCAACCACGTGACTGTTGACAGTTAGAATGGAAGATCGCCGGCGTTTGTTGACACAGAGGAAGCCTGTCGTAGGATTAAAGTTGAATCGAGCATGTTTGACGCGAACTGTGCTTTCGCCGGGAGTCGTGAGAATGAAATCCGTTTCGCTGCCGTCCTCATGGGTTCCCTTGCCTGCTACCCAACCGAGCCGCGGGTGGCGAGGGGGAGTGCCCAAGTCGAAGGTGTAATAGCCGTCCAAGCAGCCATAGTGCTAGAGAGATACGCTTCCGTAGAAGAAGTAGGATCGGTGGCACTGTCACTCTCATGATCATGCCAACGACCAAGCAAAGCTCGAGCAACCTCCTCATCATATTGCTGCTCAGAATTAATGTGCATGAAACCTTCGTACCCATGACTTTTCTGGGTGAGAGATGCTGCTGCCACCAGATGAAAAGCGACTTTGGCGGCTGTGTTAGATGGCCGTAGAATGGCAGCGACCAAAGGCCCCCGAAAAGGAGCAACCTCAGCTGCCATGCTGGCGGAGACATAAATTCAACATTGAAAAGATATTCAGGAGTTAGGATCCTGAAGACTAAAGACAGAAATTGAGTCACCCTGGCCAACCCCCTTCACCTTTAGAGTAAACATCTAAAACCAAAACTGGTCCAATGCAGTCAGGCATCTCACCCAGCACAGGGTGTGGCTGCCCAAGTCGGGGCGGGGTGTTCAGGTCAACGGTGGCGACACGTATTCTGACTTCTTCCCAGAAGATAGTAATCAGTCCGCATTCACTCATTTTATCTTAAGTATAAAGAATTCAGTAGACTCATGCAATGATCATTGCTTTCAGAGGAGATCTTGTCGAACTGTCGCCGTACCTTAGGTTATGATGTGCAGTGTTACTGTGTAGCATTTTTAATTTGCGGTGGCGGACAAATGATTCTCCGTTTCTGAAGCCAAACTGCAAGATCGCAACACAAAACCAGCGTTCCCTTTATAGTTATGGGATGCGGAACGAAA